AGATTTGACCTGAATCAAACGAATGATAGAGAGGGAAAAGCAGAGTTTGATTTGCCTCACTTACCAAATCTACAAGGAGGGCGTTAAATCTTTCTTGGTGTTCTTGCAATCGATGCTTCTCGCTTTCCAAATCGCGTTCACGGAGCTTATCACCCAACTCAGCTTCGACCTGAAAAGGAAAATATCTTACACTAGTTCTCTCTTCCATGGAATCAAGTTCGACATGCCGGATAATTTTGAAAATGAGAGCAACCGGAAATCTCACCTCTCGCTGTCTGGCTGCAATTGCAGCGTCAGCGGCAAGACGTTTCTCACGCTCTGCTTCTTCTTCAATATCCTGAACAGTAAAAACATAGCTGGCAGGATTTCGGCTATTTTTCTAGCAATACTGAAAACTCTTAGGGAGGAGTAGCCAGAAGGTGTACCCTCTTTAATCGTCTGGTCAGCTCCTTAAACAAGTGCAACTCACCGAGAGGCTTTCGTCTCCGAGTTTCTCCACGTGATCGCGGAACATCTGTTCTCTTGAAGATGAGCTCTCCACCGCTTTGAAGCGTTCGTCATTTTCGAGTAATTTTTTCGCCGTCGACCACTTCGTCTTCCGTGTGAAGCTCGTCTGCTCAGCAAGCATTGCAAGATACTCTTTCTTTGCCTGAACAAAGAATGAGTGTAGAATTTTCACAGTGAAAGCGGAGAAAAACAAAACTGACAAACAAACATGACGCTTACCTTTTCTTTCTTCTCTCTTCGTTCTTCCTTCTCCTTTTTGTGCAGTTCACCGACAAATTCGTTGAATAGATCCTCACGATCACGCATTTTCTCAACTGCCTTGAAGCGAGGATCCTTACCAAACTTCGAACCAAACGAAGAGAATGACGACCTGCATGAAAAATTTTGGCCACCAAATTTGTGAACATAAACACAATTACTGATGAATTGCAATACCAAAAGACATTCTCCGAGAAACAAGTTCAGAAAAGACTCACTTTCCGTGAAGTTCAGCTTCAGCAAGCAACTCTTGGAACTTCTCCTTAGCTTCCTTCATACGCCTTTTCTTCTCAGCACGTTCTTGTTCTAGTTTTTCACGAACGTAAGCATCGAAACACTGAATCAGAAAAATTACTGGAAATAACCTTTTAAACAGACAAATCATCCTTTTCTTGCGATCTCCAACGCTGTTTAGACTTCAGTTCAACATACCGCTCTCCGCTCCGTGGCGCTCAGTAACAAATACCGCGGGTCGAATACGATCTTCGACAGTTCTTTTTCGAAGGTGCTACCGGTGGCCACGCCTTTTTCTCCAAGCATCGTCTTGAATTGCAAAAGCCGTTCTTCGAGTGGTAGCTGAATACAAGAGATTAGCGTTTTACCTTTAGAATTTTTGATGACTTACTTTCTCGCGATCACGCTGAGCTTGCAACTCTGCTGCCACAGCTGGGTCCACTGGCTTTTCAAGCATTTGCCGAACAGGCTTTTCCTGAAAATAGGGGCATAACATAGTAGCAGAGATCTTTTGGATGATATAGCGCATTAGTCATCAACTAGTCAGTAACTCCCATATCACAATGAAGTCCTACATCTACTGAGCGCAAACTTAATATAATAAACAGTAAAAAAAGAAGAACATCCTCGAACCTTCTCCTTTTT